GATTGTATGTTTTTTTTATTAGAGGTTCAGAAAATGGTCCGAAAGTGTTGGGATAAACAAACCAGTAACGTCTCAGACTTCAGGTATATAGTGCAGTGACCTGATAGCTTCATACCCATCCAACTCTGAAGGAGCAGGGATTTGATTTTTCAAGACCTTTGGAATTCAGCAGAATGAAATCACAGTGAAAGTGAATTTGCTGTTATTTTCTGTAAGATATTTTGTAATAAGGAGTGAGAAAAGACAACCACAAGACCTGACTTTTAAAGTCAAACCTTACACAACTGCAGTGTGTGACTTTTGGCATGATTTTTGAAGTGCTACAGCAATAAGAGCTTCAGGGATGTGACAGCTTTGAAAAACAAGGCCAGTGCTCATTGTGCCACAGAGTGTTTCTGTCTACAGAATGTGAATAATAATGTGTTTTAACTCACAGGGACCTTGTATAGAAATTATTTTTCTCCACTGTGAGAAGCCCCAGATATTAAAATACTGCAAAAATTTTCTTTGTCTCTCTCTCCACTTCTGTAATAGTGTATCCTGGAAGAAGGAAACTTGACTGTGTAACCAGTTTGAGTGAACTTCAGACCATATGCACATTCTTGCTCTCATTTTTCTGACATTACTGTCAACTCACCATACTGAGCACAACCCCGTTCTGTTTGAGAACAAATATGGCATTAATCTAAATATTTTAAAGGGAAAATTTCTCTTGAAATGCATCCTTCTGTCCTTGTAGATTAACTGGCTTGGCATAACATGTATTAGTGTAAAGGTAGTAAGGGTATTTATAACTGAGGTTCCAGTAGCTTATTTGTGAATGTGTTATACTGTGAGGGGGAGGAGAAGCAAAAGGTAGAATGGAGAGAAGAAAACTTAGATAAAAGACAGAGAAGAAAGGTGTATAAATATATAGGACAGGTTAAATTCATAAAGATTTCAATGGCAAACTTTCTCTTTATAGTCTGCAGCCTTTCTGATTTAGGAGGACAGGGCATAAGACTGTTAGTACAACCAGTCTCCAGGCATTGCAGGTAACTAATTATGCTACATGTTTAGTTAAACATGTATGCTCTCAATGAGACTGCCTAAATTTAACTGAGGACTTCTCACTGATAAAGGATTTGGAAAGAACTGTACACTCAAAATGAAAACCAGGAGGAAGTTGAGGTGCTCATCATATTGAAAACATAACTTTGAGCATAAGATGTGACTGTGCAACCCTTCTTGTTGTCTCTGAGAGCTTTGTCCTGTGGGCAGACTTACGGGAGCATCAGTGAGACAGGCTGCAGTGTCACACACAGCAGAACGACAAAACAATCAGTGCTATAGCTGACCTCAGAACAATGTGAACAATCCTGTTGCTAGCAAGACTTTAACTCATGCAAATTGTCTGAATAGAATGAGGAACAGAGAAGGTAACTGCCAGCTTTCAGAAGTAAGCAGCCTTGGCTAAGTATATGTCATTCTTTTTTATTTTAATGAATCAGACCAACACCTAGACAAAAGCATCACAGGAAAAGGGACTCAGTTTTGGAAGACACCTCTCTAAAATTATCCAAGTAATCAAAAGATTGTGACTTGTTTTAGTTCTATTGGTCAACTACTGATTGCAAATCAAAATAATGTAAAAAAATGCTCAATTATTGGTTTCATTAGTTCCCAAGTCTTTCATTTGTTGTTGTAGCATGAATTAGAACAAGGTCTTAGGTTTCTGAAAAAATTATTCGTCCTTTAAGAAGCTATCATTGTGACTTTTTTTCTTGTGAGTTGAAAAGCCTTCTCTTGTAAAGCATTAGTCTTCTCATATTTACTTTTGGAAGAGCACCAAAAGCACCTGTGCTGTCACTAACTACTAAGGCTCTTGTCACCTCCCTCTTCATCTTCATGGATGGTCCTTAAAGGCAATAGTGTCATTTGTACTAGAGTGAATTTGGTACTAGGCACATATTAGTGTAATAGAAGAATGTCATAGAGCTGAAAAGTGACATGTGTACACAATGGTCCTGTGGGACAAATCAGTCCTAAAGATTCCTGCATACCGTTTCTCTTAAGATGATTTACAGGACATGGAGGTTAATGTGCTGGGAGAAGCTGTAGAATAGATTTGAGATGAGGTGCAATACTACCATGTCGTGTAAATGTTTCTGTGGTGTCCTGGTTTCAGCTGGAACAGGGTCAGTTTTCATAGTAATAGTTGGTACAGTGCTGTGTTTTGGATTTAGGATGAAAATAATGTTGATCACACACTGGTGCTTTAGTTGTTGCCAAGTAGTCTTTATGCTAAGACAAGGACTTTTCATCTTTACCATACCCTGCCAGTGAGAAGGCTGGAAGGCATAAGGAGTTGGGAGGGACACAGCCAGATCAGCTGACCCCAGCTGATCACAGGGATAGTCTATAGAATATGGCATCATGTTCAGTGCATAAACTGTGAGGAAAGCTGGCCAGGAGCTGCTGCTCAGAACTGGCTGGGCATTGGTTGGCAAGTGTGAGCCAGTTGCATTGTGCATCACTTATTTTGTATATTCTAATTATTTTTATTATTATCGTCATGATTATAATTTCTTCCCTTGTCTGATCTAATAAGCTGTCTTTGTCTCAACCTATGAGTTTTCTTGCTTTTACTCCTCTGATTCTCTCCCCCATCCCACCATGGGGGGAGTGAGCAAGCAGCTGTGTGGGGCTTGGTTGCTGTCTGAGGTTAAACAACGCCACATGGAAAAATGAGTAAAGTCATATGGTGAAAAGAAAATACATCTGCCTGGGAAATTTGCCATAGCGTGGGGGGAATAAAAAAGTTGACCTTAGCTAAAACAGGATCTAGTAGGAAAACTGTTCAGGCCAATTTCAGATGCCGTAACTTGGCCGCTTTTGCTCCAGTATTGGCCAGCCCTGTCACATTACTATTCAAAATATTTTCAAGATCACTGCTTGCTGAATTGAGTCCTGGAGTACAGCCAGGTGGCCTTGATCAATGTGAGAGGGCAGCAGCACAAGAATAAGTCACAGAGTAGGAGATGATAGAGATGGAATATGGCTCTCTGCCTGGGTGATATCCATCTCAGACAGAACAATGGGTAGGACATATCTGCACACTCACTGAGATGTGTTTTGTCTCTCCTGGAGAGTCACAGATCCTTACCTAGATCTGAGAAACCAGCTTCACTTAGCTACCTGTAATGTGGTTTTGTGCAGCATTGAACTGAGTAAGAACCTGTCTCTCTGTGTTTGACATCTCTGTCACACCTGGTTACAGGCCCTCAAAAGTAAATCAGCTGTGCCACTGCAAAGACATATTCTTAATTGTGGTGTCTCACACTGAGTTCTAGAGATCAAAATCCTCAAGTCACGGAAAGAAGTGCTGTCACTCAGTGTTTGCCATGGTAAACCCCCTGCCATTTCTCCATCAGACACAAAAAAAGGCTATTGTTTGAAAGAAGGCTTTTGTTAAGATGCCTGGAAATGCATTGGTAGCTTGGGTTGTGTGGGGAGATTACTGAAGCAGAGGTGGAAGTTAATACGCTGGCTCTGAAACATGAGGGGATATTTTGCATTGGTGAAAACTTTCTGTAGCCTTTCAGTTCTCCATTGGCTTTTGAAGACGATAATGTATCATCTTTAAGGATAATAGGGCATGTGTGTGTACAGCCTATTGCCATGTACCAGAAGACTGAAAGAAAAGCAAATTTCTCCATCTTCCTAAAATTTCAAGCGGAGGTCAAGAAGTAGCTTAATGGCAAGCTTTTCCTCAAGACAGTGAGTAGGCTGTTTCCGGAAAGGTACTCATTGTAATGAACTTTCATCCTTACAGTATTGCATTTGTGGCATTTATTTTTGTTGGCCACATCTGCTCTTTGTTCTAGTTTGGTACAGGAAGACTAATTTACATTTTGAAGATGTGAGAAGAATTTTGGAGGTAGGAGTGCTTATTTCTTTCAGGATTGGATATGAAGAGGTGTACAAATAAAGGAACAAAGATAAACCCTTCTTTCAGTGGCAGATCCTGGTATCTTATCCTAGATGTTTGCAATACATCTTAGCCAGCTGAGAAAAGAGACTCAGGTGTGAGACAGCTAACCTTTAAAACTGAGGCCTTAACAAGAGAGTTTTCCTTCTGAATTAAAGGTGCTTTTTTCAAGGTATTACAACTTTATAAGTATGGTTTGGATGAGTTTCTTTCCACTTTAGAGGCTACATAGCAGAATTGTATCCAAATTAATGAAGTTTAGTTTTGATGACCGACATAAAACTAAATGTTTTTTTGTCCTGTAATTTTCTTATTCATAAAATTGGTGTTAGAGGATATTTTGAGATACATAGGAGTCTGAGAGAAGGAGGAGGACTGCACTTACCCTCAGGTTCAGTTTCCAGAATAAAAACTTTCATGGAAGAGAGTTATTTTGGAGGAATCCATGGTACAGCTGCTACACACACCACAGGCTACAAACTGCAGATTTTCCTGCAGAAAATCCTATCATGCAGTTTTTGAAATAGATAACAATGGCAAAAAAGAAATCCAGTCTTTCAACCCTCCTTAAAAACATCGAGTGAGTTACCGGAGGATTTGTACTGCAGTTTAATTTATATGAATTAATTAATCTATGTTTGTTTCGACTATTGTGTTCCTTGAGTGACTGGTGAATTCTTGGGGGCTCCTCCTTTCTGTTTAGACTAGGCTCTTCAAGGCAGGGACTGTTTATGGCTGGCTGTGCATGATACCCAGAAGACCTCTGTGCAGACCTTAGAAACTTACAGGCACTACTAGAATTCAGTATTGGATGAAAAAAAAAAAGGCATTTTAAAATATTAGAAGGTTTTACAGGAAACAGTGATTTTTAGTCACTTTACGCTTAGTTTTGTCCTCTGCTAAATATTTCTGGAGAAGAGAATTCACTGATATTACTGCTTGCTTACTTGTGGCCTGAACATATAATGCAGAGTCACAGTCTGGGTTTGTTTTTTTTTCTTTTCTTCTTTTTTTTTCTTTGTCCTGACAGAAAGATTTCGGGATTTACTGCTTCTGCATTCAAATCAAGATACAGAGATTCTGCCCATCTTTCAGCAGAGACGCTATCCCAAGTAAGTAAGATTGTCTTCTTGGGAGAAATAAAATCTTTATCTATTTGCAGCGAGGGAGAGTAAAGCATTTATAGCACTGTACATGCTTTTGGTGCAGAATCCTTAGGCAGAGCTGTCAGGGAGCCACGCTAGCACTGATCTCTTTTGACTGGTGTCGAGGAGAAGCAGACACACATTGCAAGCACGCTCAGCTGTCAGTGGGGGAGGTGGTGGTGGTGGTGGAGCACAGATGTTGAGTTGCCTGGATGAGTGTCTGACAGAGCTTTCGTTCTCTGTTGACACAGGTAGATGTTTTATCAGGCTAATCCCCATTCTTGTCTTCTGGGATTCCATCATTGATGGTGACAGTTTCCTTTGAATTTTAACAGGCTTTCCTCTGAAAGCCTGCAAACACTAGGAAACGTTTTTTTTTTTTGCCTTTTTTAGGGGTACTTATTCACCTATATCTCTAAAGGGAATGAAATAGTAGTGTTGAGTGTTAAGGAGGTCTTGAATGTATTGTGTATCCTGGACAATACCTCTTCTTTTTCCAAGTGACATACCTGAGTGAAGCAATAAAAGCTCTTTGCTATTTTATTGACTAGAAGAAGCAGTCACTTTCAGCTTGAACAGAGGCAGTGAAGGGCGAAGAAGAAGAAATGGTCCTCACATTAACCCTGACCAGAACGAGCAATGAAAGAATGCAAGTGCAGGGTGGACAGAGGGTGGAGATGGAAGAAAGAATGTGTGTAGACAGTCCTTCAATGATGGTGGAAACAAGCACAGTTATTTATTTTAGTTATTATTGTTAGAAGGTTTCTGAAATAGATAAGAAGTTAGTGAAGCAAAGTGTCAAATCTCTTTAAATCTGATAATGCAATTTTTTTAAGAACAATTAGAGAGGCTGATTGCTGAAAGCCAGTCACCTCCTCACTGTGAGTACTTGAAAATAAAACCACTCAAGGATGAAATCCTGATTCTGAAAATGATGAAGTTTTGCTTTGACTTCAAGGGAGACACAGTTTTATCACCCTAAATTTCTTGTTTGCATTGTCCATTGCCACTATATTACTGGAATACGGTGGAGGTACAATATATGAAATAGTGGAAGGTACCTTATGTGTATGGTTTGATCTGCTTGTTTAATTAGGACTTCCATGAATTATTACTTTTCTCCTCATCCTTTGGAACCCTGGCAGTACTATGCTTTGCTTGGCTTAGATTATTTCATTTTTGATGTGGACACTGTCAGACTGGTCTGAGAAACCAGTTTGCTGTCCTTCCTCAAAGAACAGACTTATCTTTGTATAAATCATTCCTAAGATGTTTGACTTTCCATTTCATTACATTCAATTTATTGCTAGCATTCTTGGCAAAAACTCTACTAACACTATTGCACAATGTCAGATTCATGGGCGAATGAGTTGTCTGTTGTCTTCTGACAGAGGATACGTTCAACTCTTCAAGGATCACAGAGCAAATAACTTCTATGGAGCTCTGCTGCTGTTTGAAGTTATAGTGGCCTTGCATCACAAAAAGGATACATGTTTCCAGCCATGTTACTTGGAAAGATTGACTGATTCCTCTAACATACAAAAGTCAGACAAATTTTGGTGTCTAACCAAAAAGAAGTTTGTGTATGTTCTTAAAAGCAATAGATTCTTGTTTGCAGCATCATTAATTGGTGCAAATTTGCTCACTTGGTACAGATATTTGTCATATATTACAGCCCATTTAGATACTGGTTGAACACTATCGACTTATCCAAATTTCCCCAGGGGTTGTCTTTTGAGCAAGGTACTTGTGTTCAGCAAAGTAGAAAACCTGTTTATCTTCATAATATATTTTGTCTTATTCCCATATAATTTTTTCACCTTTCTTACTCTCATTTTCACTGAAGGGTCAGAAATTGAGGTAATAGAGAGACAAATCTACTAAATCAGTGTCCCTTCATTGACTTCAGCTGAGCAGTGGCTGGTTGTACTACATTAGGATCTGAGTAGAAAGACCATTTTAATGAAATGTTGTCACAGGGCACAAACTGGAGCTTGTAATGATTAAAGAAATCCAAAGAATATTGAAGGTTAAAAATAGAAAAGAATTTTTAGTAGTGACTTAGCTGAATAGCTTGACTAAGCAGGGCTTAGTAGGTGGAAAGGATAAAAGTTTTCACATATTTAAGAGACAAACGTCCAAAGGAAGGAGATTGGGTAGGAGGATGTTCAGTACCACTCAGGATATTGAGAATCATTGCAATAAATATTAAAGGCTAAATGGGCAAACCATAATCCATCAACTTTTGGAAGAAATAGAAACCTTGGTGTTTTTGCCTGAATTATGTACTTGTTCATTTATTACATTAGGACCTGAACTCTTTCCCACGTAACAGCAGGATAATTTTGAGTCCATGTTGTTCTCAGAGATGTCTATGCACTGGAATGGCTGAAAGAAGTTTTCTAAAATATGCATGGACATTAAGTTTTCTAAAATATGCTAGATTTTCTGGGGTAAATGTGTCAAAGTAATCTGCTTTGTCCTCCTAGTTGATGAAGAAATGTGGTATCTTTTTATTTTCCTTGTGTTTGCCTGAGTTTATTAGGACAACCTTGGCTTTGGACAGCCAAGGAGCCAATACCTGCTCTGGCAAGCAAAGGAAACTACAGAGAGGCCTGATCTTACAAAGATCAAGCCTTAGAAAGCCACACAGCACATCTCCTGGACTTCTGGACATACCACTGTGTGCCCACAAGGCATCATGAGCACCAGATCTCACCGTAGCCTGTGGGCTGGGACGCAGCGCTCTGCCAGCACACGGGGACAGCCCCCAGCCAGCCAGCCCAGTCTGCAGTGATTGCCCTCTCACTTTTCTTCACGGGGTTGCAGAGCCAGAAGGAGCTTGGCTCTATCTTATGCTTGTCTCAAGCCTAGAGTAGAGTTTTTAATGCAACACACTGCGCTGCATGTAGTTACGTGTTACAGAACTAGCAAGAGCAGTCTAATCAGGCAAGTCTTTTGATATCTCAAGTGACTAATGTGGTTCAGAAATCAGATGTGACCAAACCCCCCTTATCCACCTCCTCCAGAAACTGACCTGTCTACAAAGAGAAATATTTTGAGGGGAAAACCTGTCTCCTTGCTGACACAAAGCCATTACCATGTCCACAAGGATTCACATTCCTGAAACTAAGAATAAACCTGCAGCTGTGGGCAACCAAATGGGTTGGGGTGCATAGCTGCTGCTGAGTGTAGCTGCCTGGGAAAGCCCTCTGCACGCAGAACAAATGACAGACATATCTGCAGCTCCGTCCTGCTCTCCCTCACTCCACAAGCCTGCTGAAGTCACTAAGGGGAGTTACGCCAACACAATCAGGTCTGTCAGCAAACCAAACTTTTTCCAACAAATCTTACCCTGACTCCTTACTTTTCAAATTAACATTACTGCCCCTGTATCTCATAAAAAACCTTTTAAGAGTTTCACATGTAGCACATTTCTGCAGGAGCTTTTCTCATGTTGGTGTCCGCTTCATGCTTTCCTTGCTTGTCCACTTTGCCGATGCCATTCCTACATGTTTTTTTTTCACAGTTTCACTCATAAAATGAAAGAACTGCTAGAGTGCAGCAAAGGCTACACAGGATTGCTCCTGAAGAAGGTACTATGCTGATTAATTTGGCTACAGGGTGATAGGGTGCTTGGTGGTAGCAGGGGCTCAGGTTGCTCCATCCCTGCTGACTGCACTCTGCTACTGACTGCCTGTGCTGTGTGCATGGGGGAAGGATCTGCAATTGCCTTGAAGGGCCAGGGAGAAGTGACACTTGTAGCTGGGCCTGATAATGTCAAAAGAATAAAGAAAACCTAAAAGAACAGAATGATAAGGGAAGTGATAAAAGAAGTGCAAAAGTGAGAAATTAGGTTGATGGATGAATAAGGCAGGAGAGAGGCTGACGTGGCACAAAGCAGTGCTTAAAGAGGGATGTGCCAGAAATGCTACTGGCATTACAGGTTTTTAGCTGGTTTTTTTCTGTCTAGAATTAACTTGACAGTTCAGCCATACTTTATATTTTCAAGTTAGTGCTGAAATCCTCATATAAATGTGTGGGGTTTTTTAGAAGGATTATTTGCTTCTTTTTTTTTTTTCCCTTCAGAAATACTTGCAGTCTTCACTCTTATCTTCTGTGGGTTTGATAAAAAAGTTTTTGGGTGATTCACAGATTTTAAGAACAGAAGGAGCGGTTATGTTCCAGCTAATTTGAGTCCCTTCTTAACATAAGCCATAGAGCATTAATGATAATCCCTGCAGCAAGTTTTTCATTCAGCCAGAGAAGGAATTTAGAATCAAATTGAGATGTTAAAAACTGGAAAACTCACAAGCCTTTAGATCAGCTTGTTTCAGTTGTCAGTTACTTCACCTGTGATAAATTTTTAACTTTGGTTTCTAGTTTCTGCCATCTCACTGTACCATTTTCTGCTGAAGAAGAAGGTCCTGTACCATCTGAAATGATACCTCCATACAAAAGGGTGGAGATCAGTTTAAAACTTGCCCTTCTCTTGAATAAAATATATAGTAATTTCTTTCAGGGTAAGGCTTGCTAAAGAGGTCTCTCTCCCAAAATCTTAAAACCTTTCAAAAGTTTTCACACTTATTTTTAAAATAAAACAAAATAAACAAAAACACACACACACACAAAAAAAAAAAAAAAAAAAAAAAAAGAAAAAAGAAAAAAAAAAGAAGCAGGAATGAAGAAAAGCAGTGTTTTGGTGACTGTTTCCATAACGTGCACCTAGAGAAATAACAGCACTTCTTTATAGTCAAATAGGGAGACAATCTAAACTCATAAATTTGGCTGCGTAAGAAATAAATCTTATTATTTTAATGGAATTCTGGAGAAAGAAATGAACTTAGAACCTAGCAGGTATGATGAAATAATATTCCAAATGCATTTACTTTCCATCAGTCATAAAGTTAGAGACCATTCTTTTGCATATATTTACGTAAATTAAGGTAGTCTTCTTGTGTATGTAC